CAGATGAGAAGCCTGGATTCTGATTATGTATCTCTTGTAGGAAGTACTCAGCTACTGTTTTAATTTTGCAATGTTTGACTGTTGGATCAATTAAATGACATACACGGTTTACTGTTTACAGAACTTTTAATGTAGTTGTCAAGTTTATTAGGAGGTTTTCATTGAGGTTTTTTTGGGGTCTCGTATTTATCATCATTAAATGTTGGTAAGGATGGCCTAAATTCAAGCTATCGAAAGAGGTTAGAAGTATTAAAGGTGTTGAGGAGCCATTGCTATTCTTCATTAATAAAAAGAGCCAAAATCTTGAAGTATACGGCTTTACATATGCAGAATGACGCTAGTACAACTGATGAGAGTGAAAATTTGTCATTGGATGATGCTGATATGAATGGTAGTATTTCATTGTGTTTTTGTAGGTAAGTTGAGCAAAAACTTGCTTCTTCTGCTTATCAGGTATCTCCTTCGATTGATAAGGAGTTGACTAGGAATTCAGTTAAGAGGAGGAATACTAAGGCTCTCTTCAAACTTATTGAGATTACACTTCAATAGAAAGAGAGGACTTTCTCGCTTTGTTCGAAGCGTCAGCCTCAAAGGTTCGTCCGCCTCAAGTGCCAGTCATTTAGGTATTAATATCAGAACTGACCTGAGGAGGTGAGTTAAAGAGTACTAGGAAGAGGATATTGACTAGGTTCGAATTCCAACACCCAGAGTACCAGCTGTTAAACAAAAGTTGAACAACCTCTGAAGAAATTCCTAACCTCTTTTGTCAATAATAATCCTTCTGCACATTTGTTCAGCCCAGCTGATTTTAAGGGTTAAGTGTAAAAAAGAGAAAAGTTCATAGGTTCTCAAAGAATGCTTGTTCTTTCAGCTTCAATTTGATGTACTGAATATTTGTACATCCAAATATTGACTAACTTTTGGTGCTTACAACTCATACATCCATCCAAGGTCTGAACCATACACTCACCCAAAATGTATCATTAAAGGCTTTTATAATTTGAGCCACTACAACGTCAAATGAGATACCATTGTAGGGAGTTTGCTTTTGAAAGAAGTAGGTGGTGAGAGAACTGAAGTTCCGTATGTTAATTTTGTGAGAACTAGAACACAAATTAGCGTTACCGAAACTAATAATTCAATGGTATATTAGCCCATATAACCCATACACCTACCGAAGAGGTTAGAAAGGTTGGAGAAGTATTGAGATTCAGTATATATATCTTGGATAATAGTTTATAGAGTCTCTTGAAATTATGTTTTACGTCAAGTGCTATTGGGTTTTTCAAAAAACGTGATGTTTCTGAAAGCGTTCAAATAGTACGATTCTGTGTTTTTCTAGTTCTTGTGGAACAGTCAATAATTCATTTAAAGGAATGATCCGAAATTCTTTAGTACTATTAGTGCTTATTTGTGTTGACTAAATAGTTTTGTAACATTCTGTTTGAGGAATTCTTGAATTAACGAGATTATACGGATATTGGGCCTACTCGGTGCTTTGTGTTTCTGCGGTTAACTTCAATATTGTATGTCTTCAAGATCACCCCTGCATAGAGGTAGAAGACTACAACTTGAAACGAAGATACCATATAAATCCCATTTATCTACTGGTAAATACTTGAAACATATTTGAGAAATACAAGGTACCTTTATGGAGAGATACCTCTATTTTGAAAGGAATGTGGGAATAGTAGTAAAAAAATGAAGCTTATGTAATACTAAGCTTTAAGGGACGGCAACAATTAGCTAAAAACAAGGTACCTGGAATCAACGTAGCCTTCCAAGGGTAATAGGCTACTGTTTCTTCGAGTAAGCATTGTCTAATGCTTATATAATACTTGTTCGAGGATCAAAGATTACTTTCATATTAAATCAATGTATTGTTTTTGCTCGTATTTTAGAATTGCAAAAATCACAGTTCTTTGATGATCTCTATATCCTTAACAGAAAACAAATAGTTTATGTTAAGAAATTGGTAGTTCAAGTAATCATTGGGCGAATGAATAAGTACATATACAGAGAAAATGCTTGAGGTTTATCAGTTCGCTTTGGGACTCTTAACTATGTTTCGTCAAATCCTAAGTTATTTATATACACTTATCTAGCTATTTCTGAGAACGGCAATTTTCTAGTTTGATTGAATAACGTACTATGTATCCAACTTATGATTCGTCAACTTCTAATATAAAAATATATACTTATCTAAGCTGTCAAGAGGCCTTACGGCTTTGAGAGATCCAACGACAAATAATAAAAGTATATCATAACTATGCTATATAGCTGCATTCACTTGCCAAAACTTTGGCGGTTTTGCCATTATATGGCATAGCCCTTTCAGTTCACTTATTGATCCAGTGACAATGATGAATCCATTGATCAAACTATCTCGTAAGACAGTTTAGAAAATGCAGCCGCTTTCCTTGTTTTTACTTTCATACTTAAAGATAACAATAGTTGGAGAGATTGGGGACGAAGTGCTCATGTAGAGAAAAGTCACGGTAGCAAAATAGCACTGAACCTGAAGCAAATATGCCGCTGTAAAACTAAAAAGATTTTATATTACAATGTTGTTTGAAAGACATCTTCTAGTACCAGGTTGGACCATGGCGAAACTAAATATGTGCAGAAATGCGTTGAGAAGCGGGGAGTGTTAAGCCCAAACACGGTCGTTGCAGGAGATATTCGGAGAGGTTTTGCTCCGGGACCTGCTGATTCAATCTTGTCCAAGATTCTTGAGTCTTGACTGGTATGGTACGACTAGGAGTAAGGAATGTTCTGAATAGTCTGAACATTCAAGGACCTTGTCAAGCTTCGAAAGCGTTTGGAAAGCAATAATCGTTTTGACATGAACTCCGGGTGCTACTGTGAATACCTGCACGATATCGGAGATTCCGAGTGCTCGGAAAAAAACGTTTGACGGAGTTTCAAAAATTTTAATCTTAGAAGAGCTTTTACAAACTGAAGAGAAGTCTTTGATTTTAGGAGAGATTAGCCTTTTATCAAGCTAATATCATTCCAGTGTCAATACAATGTCAGCAAGTACCCAGAAAGTGAAATATCCGTACGTGTAACTACAGTAATTTTTTACAGAACATTTTGAGACAAACAGTATACTAACCCAAGTACTCTAGATTTTGGTATGGTGGTGCCTCTAGTATGGTGGCATGCCTTGTCACCCATCCACTTGATTTGGCAAAAGTTAGGTTGCAAACTGCGTCTAAGCCTGGCCAATCATTAGTATCCATGGTTTATCAGATAATCACCAAAGAAGGTTTCTTCAAAATCTACTCCGGATTGACAGCCTCATTGTTGAGACAAGCAACATATTCAACTGTTAGATTTGGAGTATACGAATATTTGAAGGATCTGTATGTGGATACGTACCACAGAACCCCGGACACCGTAGTATTGCTCCCCATGTCAATGGTGGCCGGTGCCTTAGGGGGTTTGGTAGGAAATCCTTCTGACGTGGTCAATATTCGAATGCAAAACGATTCAACTCTCCCAGTTGAGCAGAGAAGGAACTATAGAAATGCATTCGACGGGGTTTTTAGAATTGTTAAAGAAGAGAAGATTTCTGCCTTGTTTAGGGGGTTGATGCCTAATTTGACTAGAGGGATTTTAATGACGGCTTCGCAGGTGGTTACATACGATATTGCCAAAAACATTTTGGTTAAAGATATAGGTATGGATGCTAATAAGAAATCTACTCATTTTAGTTCTTCATTATTGGCAGGTCTCGTGGCCACTACCGCATGTTCACCAGCTGATGTGGTAAAGACTAGAATTATGAATGCCAAAGGGGGAGGCTCAAACGCCTTGACCATTTTGAAAACCGCTGTTAAGAACGAAGGCATTGGATTTATGTTCAGAGGATGGTTGCCTTCTTTCATCAGGTTAGGTCCACATACAATTGTGACATTTTTGGCTTTGGAACAATTAAGGAAGTTCAAAATTGGCATGTAGGTGTCGGTTGTATAGAATAATAGACTCAAACGAGACACAAATACATTGTAATTTTTGTATTTCTCTTATATATATATATGCAGAAGACAAACATGGATATCTTGATCACTTGGTGACTTCAATGTTGTCTAATTCAGCTCTTTCGAAGGCTTCCTTCTCGGCTTCTAAGATGTATGGAACCAAGTAATGGTTGTCTTCTTCAGGCTTGACAGCTTTGTTTGGAGGTAATAACTCATGAGACAAGGATAACTGATGGGCGGTGATGTTTCTGTAGACTCTAGCATAACTCTCATTAGGAGGCAATCTAGAAATAGCCTTTTGCATGATAGGTGTTTCTTCCAAGATCAAATCATTGAACTTTAATCCCATCTCTCTGTAACCAGCGTAAGCACAGAAGGTCTTGGCTACTGGAACAACAATCTTGGACAAGGTTGGTCTTGACAATATATAGTCTGATACCTTCACTATAGATGTAAATGACAGCATATTCGTGGTATAGCTTGTTTTTTCGAAGGTTTTTTTTATTTGAGGACTCGAGTGGTTCTAATGTTTAATGCGAATTTACAAGGTTTTCATTGGTTCAAGCTTGACTTCCAAAATAGGCAGGTCATTAGAGCGAGAGCAAAATGATATTTATATATTCTCTGTCTAATAATGATATTCATCGGAAGGCTGACCAAAAGTATTCGGGAATCCAACATCTTGCCAGACCTTCTGTGGGGTACTCTCTTTGACTCTTGCAAGTAGATCGTCGCTCTTGAACAAGAATAACCCAAGGATTCCACATGAGTTAATGCCCAAATCTTCATACTTGCCATGAGATCTTGGAACCACCATCATGAATGATGTGGTCATTATAACATTATACGAAATGGACTTGGCATCATTTTCTCTCAATACAGTTAGAGCCCGTTGCAAAAGAGACGAGAAGTATAACACCAAACTCTCTTCGTCTAAGTCGTCAAGTTTTGGAGGTAATTTGGCTATAAAATGAGCCATTGGAAGTTCAGGAAGTTGTAATGGTTCTCTCTTTGTCGTGGGGATAAAAGAATCAGAATTTTCGACTGCAAGTAGTGGGAAAGGGGTAAAGTCTTTTGGAAGCGTCATAAATTGGACATGTTTATGAGGTTGAGATGCCCCACTTGCTTCACCACAGTTATAGAATCCAAACCATTGATTTTCCTTGTCTTCACTAAGTTTCTTTAAAATAGAGAATGTGCCGATCAATTCGTCAGGTGATAATGGTGTTGTTTGGGATTTGAATTCTTTGGTCAACAACATGATGTGTCTCGGAACAACAGGGAATTTATTATAAACAATTCTGAATTGATTTTGTGCCCCAAAATCCTCTATTATGGTTAATTCTGGCTCTGGATCTTCAAAAGGATTCTTCTTGAAATCACCTTTTTCTGGCCTGAGCATTAATGAATGAATGGTGCTGTATTGTAAGTCTATTGTCACCAGGTTGCTGTCATCTCCAAGAGTGACCTTCAAACTTTCATTCTTTACTGAATCTCCATTGAAGTTCAAGAAGTTATTGGCAACCGCCTCATCATATTTGTTCTTAAGTTGAATGAAAAAGTCATCTGGTAATGGGTAAAACATAGTTGATTGATGGAGATATAGATCGCGTAATTTTCTTTTCCAAATGTAAGTTAGTATGCGCACGAAATCGATAGCTTAAAGGCTTTCCAAGTAACGGGCGATAAAACGCGGGAAAAGCTTTGAAGGTTATTTGCAGTCAACTTTTTTTGGAATATATAATTTTAGAACGATTTCTCAGTGAATGAGCAAAAATCCCATATAAAACTATCCAAGGAATCCAAGAAAACAAAAATACCTAGAGTCCATTTTAAGAGTCAATGGGCCATTGTGCTCCACATTAACTCGTTTCTATTTTTAGATGGATAAATGCTTCAACATAGAAGTATCATTTGTAGGAAGTACTTGTTTTTAACTAACAACCTTCTTTGCTGAAATATCATGCATACCTGCCTTGCATGTCATATTTGAAAACCCATATTAACGCAATCATGAAAGACACCACCTATCCCCATACTCATCGAGAGACAGCATTACGTAGTTTACAAGCCAACCGCTTTCTATAGTGGGAGATATTAAATATTATTGGTGCACTATCACTTCCATCAAAATATACACTATTTTCTTCGAAACCAGCTAATAAGTTTACTGGATTTATTAGACTTAATGGAGGAATCATCTCCGAGGGTAGATGTCGATTTTGACAACTTTGGAGCCAAGTCTGTCAATACCATTGACAAAGACTTAGACTTCAGATGGTCATTAATTCGTTTAGGAGCCGGCACTTTAAATTCCAGAGGCTTTTTTGCACTTTTTTGGTGCATATTGGCTTTGAACGGAGGAATTCTTGTTTCCTGTATTACCTTCTGTTCATTTGGGGTAAGGGGTCTTCTGGGTGTCCGCTTCGTTGGAGACAGTGGTTTGGAACCAGACGACATAAATACAGGTGAATTACGAACAGTCTCAATATCGTTAGAATCCTTTTCATTGGAAACAACAATCATTGGAGGTGTTTGAAGTGCCCTCTCTTTCTCTCTTTCCTTGGAATCTGATACAAAAGAAGAATGATCTGTTGACTGAACAGTACTTATGTTTGATGTCATGGTCGAGTTAGTGTCTGAAATTATGCTGATTGGACTATTGGAAGTGGTTTGTTGTTGCGGAGAAGTTACTGATATTTCGATTCTGTTATCCTTCTGAATGAATTTTGGAAGTGTTCCTTTACTAGGAGAACTTGTAGGACTACCAGAAGTAGCACTCTGAATGCTGGGGGGCGGAGATAATTTGTTGATCTCAATATACCTTGTTCGGAGTTCTCCATGTCTTTGGTATTTAGGCATTCCCCTTTGAGATTGTAGAACTGGTAAACTTGAAGAGTGAGCCAAAAGTCTCAGACTCTCTTTATAGAACTTTGGCTGGCCGAATGCTTGACTTAATCCTTGAGGCTGAGATTGAGGTTGATGTGGAGGAGTATGCAAGGTAGATGAATTATTTGAAGACATGTATAATGTCATATTGACATGCTTGGGGGAGTTGGGTTTAGTCAAATTGACGCTCTCAGAAGATTTCAATGCATTTGATAATTTGAAAGATTGGTCGTAAAATGATTGGTATCTATTCGCCTTTGCTCCCGATCTTTTTGGAGTCGAGTTGACAATATTGTGATTTACAATTGGGGGAGAAGTATTGGAATCTCGAGAAGAATTGGACATAATCTTCTCCACCAGTTGCCTTTTCAAGCTTGAGCACGAAGAATTAGTCGAGCTATTAGAATATACCTCACCAGCAATGTTTGGTGGATTGTAAAGAACTTCATTTTCATCAATACCTATCACGGCATCATCATCATGACTATTTTCTATGTCGTCGTTAATGTTTTCTTGAATTGGTTGTTGCAAAAGGGTAGTGTTTGGTAAACTGATGGAAGGTGAAAATGTGTAAGGTGATGACGACAAGGGCTTGAGGAATGGTGAAGATAAGTATTCGTCATCGAAAAAGACATCATCTTTCTCCTTTTGACATCGGTGAATGTAATCTCCTATATGCAAGTTAGCATTAAGAACCTCATCTAAATCGATAACTGCATCCGGTACATTATCATTATTTAAGTTGGTTTCTTCTGTCAAAAAGAATTTAGTCTTTGGTGTATTTGGGTGATTTGAGTTCAAGTTGCTATTACTGCTCTTCTTATTGAAGGCTCTCTTTTGGTTAAGTTTGATTGGTGAATGCAAGTTCTTCCTTCCATTTGAATTAAAATATCTTGGAGGGGTTGACACCATAAAGTTGTCATAATTCTTGCTGTTCGGGAACAGGAAGTCGGAGACACTCTTAGCAAAGTCATCATCATTATTAAAGTTAAAATGTGCATCCGTATCATCGTCTTTGTTATTTGGTTTACTCGAAGGAGAAAAGAGTCCGAGACCAAAATTGTCAAAATCACCGGAAATGGCGGCGGATCTTCTGTGTCGATGCACTCTTTCACCGCCCAGCAGATTTGGGGTTACTGACAAGTATGTAGCGTTCGGCAAGGAGCTCATTAGTATATGACGACTGTTTGAATGACTGTGGAAGAATTATTAACACGGTTAAGGAATTAAGTAGAAATAAGCAAACGATCACAAGCTAGTGACAAGAATCCAAATAAATAAATAATGAAATGAAAAGTCACAAGGAGTAACACAGTCAATGAAACAAACGGAAAAGGAATGAACTGAAAGTATGATTCGGAATGAATGGACGCTTCACTTGATAAAAGTCAGCAACTAGAACACGCAACAGGTCACGACGAACGCAGACGGGTCTTAGGAAGTAAAAAAGGAACGCTACAACCAAAGGGCCCAAAAGAAAAGGAAGACAGATTCTATGGAATGGAAGACACTTATCTTCTTATGCAAAAACCTATAGGAGCAAACCTCTTTTAGTTGTAGTAGTGAAATAAATGAACAAAAGATAGGGATGTAATTTTTTTGAAGAAAAAAACTTGAGTAGAAGATGCGCTACTTTGAAATAAGACACAAAAACCCTTTCCAAAGGCACGGTTTAATTACAAAGCCAATTTCGGTATGGAAGATTATATACTTTTAACGAGTAACTATAACCATCTTGTTATTTCGCGCAGGACATATCACTACAGGAGATAATATTGGAGGCGGGTCTATCCATTAGATTATTTTTCAACATTAAATTCGTTTCGGGAGAATAGTCGTGTACCTAAACACATTTTGATGCACTAAAAGTATTGTTTCAGGGCGCTGGCTTTGTCCGTTTCAGACAGCCCTGCTGGTCACACCTGCAGGTATATTTCGTAACAAGCATCAATAACATGCACAATATGCACAATATGCCTCGTACAGAAATCTTACAAATAATCCAACTCTCTAAACAGGAATGTCGCTCTTTGCGAAGATAGAATTTGCTACAGGAATAATTAAATTCGTCTAGAGCAAAGAGTTCAGGTTAAGAATAATATCTAATGTACCTCGATTAGTTCATTTCACAAAGATACGAATAATCACGAAGTGAGAGAAGTAACTCGGAGGCAATTCTGTTCCATTCAATCTAGAGGTTTCCGCATTCTTTGGATTCCTTTATCCATTTCTGAGTAATTTTAGTACGGAACCTGAAAGATTCAGCATAAGAGAATACAGAAGATCCTGGTTCTCCAGCCCATTTAGAAAACAAATACTTCCCTGATTAGAGGAGTTTTGTGGATTAATATCAATTCTGTATAATGCGATGCGACACTTATTACAATCAGTTTCAGCATTTTTCAGGTTAATAAATTTAAGATTGTAAGAGCCGGTTTCATTGCGGGAATGACCCGAATTAAAATATAACACGTCAATGTATGAAGGCTGGAGATTTGCTTTTTTTAAAGGAACAATATTAAAGTTTTGTCCAAGAAAGCAGGATAGGGCGAGTAAAAAAAACAACTTCTCAACCTGCAAAAATCTGTAACAGATTGTTAACATATTTTATCTTTACAGCGGACGACATTCCTGTTGGCAAGGGTGCAAATTATTAATGGGATTTTCTATATCTAAAGTAATTGCTGCAGGTTACCTCCTTCTTAAAATGATCGGCGACTTCGTGCACATATCTCCTTTAGCCTGGGTCCTTACGGATATATCAGCATGTTCTATGCATTTAATGGTAGACGGTAAAAAGGCTTACACAACAATAATAGATTCTGTTAAAATTGGACAATGGAATGATAATTAGTCAATAGTAATTGTAACATCTCCAATTTACCGTACAGTTACAAAACCGATTGCACCGCACTTCCAACTCAAAAACCTCCAATTACTTGTTATCTCATACTTTCCTAATTAGGTTAAATTAAAACAATTTATGCAAGTCCTGCAGAAGTACGCCCCTTGAGAAGAGATTAGCCAGGAAGTCAAAAATAGTGTAAGGAGTGTCACTGAAACTGCAGGGCAAGACTGATACACAAGGTCCACCAAAGGCCCCTAAAACATGCACTGCACTCTTTTGGCCTCGGCCTAGTAGTCTCCTCGTTAATTGCCGAAGGCTCTTTTTGGCGGGCGGCTAAATGCCAAAAACAAAATACCAACGTTATCAGTAAATTTTTTAATTTTCTAGTGCAATTACGAGATACGGCAATTGAGTTACGTCAAAACTTGACAACTTGGTGCTTGCTACAAAGGACCAATATTGTACGGTTCTTAAGACGTAGACAGACTATATTCGATAACACCAAGGTTACCACCCACTACATTTCGGATGCTTGTAGGATCTTCTATATCTCCATTTATCTCAAGAAAGTTGGAAAATCAGGAGTCGGTTTTAACTTTTGACTATTGCTTAATTAGGCATTTTTTTTTTGACTGCAAGCGTTGTTGTTGATTTTACAACTGCCGCCCAACAGGATTATATTGGAGAGAAGTTATGGTATCGAGACGGAGGAAAAAAGGCAATCGCTTCTTTCATTTGGTTGCAAAAGTCTGATCATTGAGAAACATATCGTTCTCTAGTATTGATGTGAATACGATCGAGGTCATAAACATATATCAATAACGGATATCTGGTTTCTCAAAATCACGCAGAAAACAAATGCTCGATCAGATAAAAGTGAGCTGCCTCCTTCCCACTAAATGGGTAGGAGGGCGCCTATTCATCAACATACAACACAAAAAAACTTTACCCCCCTAGAAACAATGCTGCCCCTTGACAACATAGTTCCATTTCTAATTGAAGTGCATGAGAACCCCTTTGGATGTGCAGTGGCCTCCTCTGTAAGATCAGAATGGTTGAGTTGATCCAGACTTTTATGGAGCTGAACGCCTGAGGGAAACTTGGAAAATTAACCGGAATTGTTCCATAACTCTACATGATACAACGGACAATGCTTACAATGTTTGATTTTAAATTAGAAGACGTGAAAAACTACTTACGGTGCTTCTTGGCAATTCTCTTTAATGCTCTTTGTTCGTTCTTCATCACACCGTCAACCATTTTATACTTACCTTTGATTCCCCTTGGTCTACCACTGAGTCCTCTGTTGCTACCTCTTGCAACCACAACCGTGACTTTAGGTTTGATTTGCTGCTTCTTGGTTAACTTCTTCATCAATTTGGTAATTTCTTCTGCCTTATCATGCTCAGATTTGGCTCCATCTTCGTTGATCAAATCAGACTTCTTCTTTAACTTTTCTAATCTTTTCAAAGCTCTCATTTTTTTACGACCCTTAGCTTCCAACACCTTCTTAATGGGTCTGGCATTTAATTCCTTTTGTTTTTGTTTAATGGCCATAGCAGCTTCTTTAGTGATAGGCTTACTAATCTTGCTGTGCCTCTTCTCATCATCAATGAACCACTCAGGCACATTGTCATTATCTCTGAAGGAGTATCTGTTAATACCCTCATCAACGAGGTCATGCTTCGTTTTATGTCCTAACGCAAGCTGATGAGCCAAAGTCATAGCTTCCACGGTTGCAAGATCATTCTTTTCCTTTTCACTGAGATTCTTGAATTTATGTGTTTCTTCATCGGAAGAGTCTTCATCTTCACTAACTTCGTTTTTCTCTCTAACAATTTCAAAAGAAGAATCTGAGTCGGAAGCAAAATCAGACTCATCTGATTCAGAGTCTGCCGCCAATTTTCTGTCATCCCCATTTACATCAACAGGAGATGTTTTTGGAGCCATGGCTGCTAATAATGCATCTTCATTAACATCTTCAAAAAGAGAATTAGCAGCAAAAAAGTTCTTTGCACTCTTGCTTAAGCCATCTTTACCCCTTTTCTCTTCGATGAGCCGATTGATGTGTTCATCATCATCCAGGTCACTTTCACTTTGGTCATCCATTTCATAGTCTTTTTCTTCAGCATCATTTTCTTCTTCAGAATGAATTCCATCCCAAGGTTCGTCATCCTCGTCACCTCTTAATTTCTTAGCTCTGTACTTGGCATCTCTTTCAGCTCTCTTCTCTTGATAAGAGTGATACATGTCATCTAATTGAGCCTCCAAGCCGTCAAGCTCATCGTCGGTTCCTACCTCTTCATTATCTCCTACATCAATTTCGACGTCCCTTATGCGATCAGCTTCATTAAAAATCATTCTCTTCTTACCTTGGATCAACTTGTTGAGCTCACCTGTCTTTTCAGCGGACCTCAAGTTGAACAAACCCTGGGAATCACTAGTGGCACCTTCGATACCAATGTTCATATCCGTTAACATGTTCATTTGCATTCTCTGTATCTCCTTTTGCTTGAGCTCATTCTTATGCTTCTTTTCTCTTTTAGACTTTTGCTTGTGTTTATCTCTTAATTCTTGTAATTCTTTATCAATTCTTTGATCCTCAGTCAAAGGCTCAACTTCGATTTCAGACTCAGCTTCCTCTTCATCCAATCCAAGCAATTCTCTGGCATGCTTTCTAAACTTCAAAATCAATTTGAAATCCTTCTTTCCCAATACTTTCAAATCCTTTATGCACTCTTGTAATTCAGGGGTAAAACTCTTAAGCTTTTTCACCATTTTAAACTCAGTTTCTTCATCTTCTTTTGAAGGCACACTTAACTTATTTAAGTCTCCTAAAGTATTTATAGGGTCTTCATTTTTCACAAACTCTAACAAAGGCATCACATGGTATAACAAATAATCTCCTTCTTCATAACCTTGTCTTTGTCTCTTCTTCTTCTCAGGATTGTATATCTTGGCTTCGTTATTCTGAGGTCCAGATGGCAATTCTTCAAAAACATGCTTGGGGTCTAAAAGACGAGGATCAAGCTTTTTTGGAGACTTGAAACCTTTACAAACAACAAAAATTTCAGCCGAAACAGTACGAGAAGCTGGAGGCTTAGTGGCTTCCACTTTTTCAAACAACTGACTAAACACCCACATCAAATTATTATAATCTCTGGATCTGAAGACTTTAGTCACAAAAGTTCCTCCGTTAGACAAATTTTCAACTGCCAATTTGAGGGCTTGCAAAGTCAACTGAGATTGAGTAAACGCATCTTGGACCCAACCCAAACCGACATTAGGAGCACCATCATGTAAAACTGTATCTGCCTTCCAGGTTTTCATATATCCTCTAAGCTTTGATCTACAATCTTCAGTTGTAATATCTGATTGGAAAGTAATAACTTTGGGAAGGGGCTTTATAGGAACAATATCAACTCCGATAATCAATGAATTGATAGGACATAACTGAGATGCCACCTGGCACCAAGAACCTGGAGCAGCACATAAATCAATCACTACTTTGGACTTTTCCAAAAAGTGGCCATACTTTTCGTTAATTTGGATGATCTTAAAAGAGGAACGAGCACGGTATCCCTTTTCTTTAGCCAAATGGTAGTATCTATCTAAACGCCCTTTACTATTCTTCTTCTGTACTTTCCCCATGGTGAATAGATAATAATATATTTCATAGAGAGAAAAAAATGCGATGAGATGCGCAAAGTTACACAAAGTCACAATCAACTGAATAAAGGGAGTAGAGGGAAAATAAGTACAACTAGGATATAGGAGGGTGTTGAATACAACAACAAATCACCACTGATTATTTCATTATATATTTACCTTCTCATCATAACTCCCACTCATCGATAGCTGCTTTGTCTTTTATAGGATCCACCAAATTATTATCAATTGTAAGAATATTGCTCTCATTACATAAAACACACTCTCGCAACATGATATCGTCCAATTCTTTCTTATTCCCACCCCCATTCTGTTTTTTGAAGTTCTGGAAAAATCTTTTGAACCGGTAATCACCCTTAATCATCAAGTAGTATTTCACAAGACACTCTTTGTGGAAGCCGTGATGACAATTCGGGAATACCACAAAGTTTTTGCTGATTAAAAGCTTGTTGCAAAAACAACAGGGCTCTCCTGGTTCAACAATGGTAAAGATTTTACCTTTCTTTATCCGGTCATTCGATTCCTGAATCTGGTTATTAAGTTTGTTGGAAATTAAAAGGGATTCTTTCATTTCAATGGATAGTTGGTTAATCTTGTTGTTATACTGGTTCAAGGATCTTATAATTTCATCTTTAAAATTATTCACCATCACTGACTCAGGGAATAGTTGAAGTAAGTCTCTGAGGTTGACAAAGCTGGAGTTAATAGTAGCATTGAATGAAGAATCAAGAAGATACCGAAGAACTCTGTTAGCCTTTTTCAGAGTAATAGGGGAATGGTCAACTGGTTTGACAGCTTGGCCTGCTAACACATTCGTCAAATCTTTGACTATATCTTCGTTTTCACTAGAAGTGTGTCCATCTCCATTTTCTTCGGATTCCAAATCCCCATGAACATTTCCAAGTATTTCGAATTCCTTGTTGTTCATAACTCCTTCAATTAAGTATTTAGCGAACATCACCCAAAGTTTTTTTCCTTGGGTGAAGTCCTTGTGATGTAGTTTATTCTTGCTAATATCAACAAACTTGTTTGGATATTCCGAGAGGGGATTTTGGTTTACATCCAAATCTAGGGTATCATCATCGCCATCTTCAAGATTGTTATCAATGTACTTGTTGAATCTTTCTAAAACACTGATGGCCAATTCTGTTAAATCAGAATCAATTGCCAATTTCAACGCTTGCTCAAAAAGCTTTAGATCATGGATAAGAATAATCACAGCTGGTTGAATGTGGTTGTTATCAAGACAAAGCCTCAAGATAAATCCTGAATCATAAAGCTTTGGATTCAATCTGATATAATTGAGGAGTTTTAGAATCTGCTTGTTGATATACTTGCTTTCGATATCCGTTTCTTCTGGACCTTGTGAATGAGTTGGATATGTTATAAGAAGCAGCAAGTAATAATTGTTGACGACTCTTTCCTTGATATTTTTCTGGAAAATTAATTTCAGAAGGAATATTAGACTGTAATTGTCGAATGCCGAAACGGTAGCACTATACTTCTTGTTATAGACCAAAAGGCTCAGAAGCAACTTTTTGTAGTCTACATTAGCAAATTTTAACCAAGTTTCAGTTGTTGGTCCTGGATAATTCAAAAGTAAAACAGATGCAGTCCTCATTAGAGCACTTTCAAAACTAGGGACATTAGCTGAATACATTTTCACTAAGATTTGAAGACACCCAGACCAATCCTCAAGATCGGCGCAGTAATTCAATATGAATTCGTAGTCATGGTTAAGTTCAGCGTAATGGATTAGTTTTGATTGGTAGTTCAATTCACTCATTATTTGGTACACGGTATCCTTATCAAACAATTTGTAGTTTGAGTCAAAAAATTTGATAAAATCGCTATTCATCTCCTTAGAATATTTGGCCTTGTCATCATCAACTCCATTCTTTGTACCGATAGTTGTATTTATCAGGTTTTGTTCATCTTCGAGGTTGTATATGTTTCGGAGCATAAGCTCAATGATCCAGCTTGAAATTACAACAATTCTAATCTTGTTGTTCTCCTTTTTTACTTGGTCGAATTTGACGAGAAGGTATTCCACAAGAAGCTTTTGAGATATGGTACTATTCAAATCGGTCGAGTCTGAATTATGTAAGTTCATCAACATGAGACAAATCTTTTCGAAAGGCTCAGCCAGATTGGCAAGAATTTGCAACCCTTTAATCTGTAAGGCAATCAAACTAGAATCAAACTTTTTATTGAAATTCAAACCAAAGGCCCCCTTCTGCAAATATTCGTAACCCTGTTTGGTAAGAACCATGTTTGCCCTCAAAGGTTTCTCCTTTGACTCGGACAACTCCAAAGCTTTGATAGCCTCCTCATACTTCCCCATCTTGTAGAAGTCGTACCACACTTTGACCGATTCGTTTTCTATTAGAATTTCGTAAATTGCATTCTTGCCATAAAGCCAGTACGTATGACTTATATAATCGGCTGTAATGTTGGACACTTGCTGAGGTAATTTGATGACCTTAGGAGGAGAATTAGATAGCTTGGAGAAAACAATGAGATCTGAATGGCTTTGGGACAATACCAAAATATGGTGGTTAGTCAACACAAACTTATTGGATAATTTCACCAACGGGTTCAACTTGGATAATTTGGAGAGGGTCAATTCAGAATCATTTGTCACCAAGTTATTTGTGTGTGCCGACAAAAGCACATAACTGGAGTCAGAAGACTCGAGTACTGCATCACCTGACCCTCTGAGTTTGATTATTTTTGGATCCGATTTGAATACTCGAAGTATTTCGTTGACTGATAGCTCAAAGCAATCCCACTGAAGAATAGACAGGGGAGTGAAGATTTCTATCCTGGTACTGTTATTACTCAAACACAATCCCGTTATTTTATCCGCACACTTGTATGTTTGCTTTAGGTACTTATCGTCTTTCTTGTTGTCCTGACCGAAATGAGATTTGATATTGGCCAAAAGTACGATATTTTCTTTGGTGATTATGAAGAAATCACCAGTGGATACATTATCGAAGTGTGACTGGGATGTCTTATGAGGAAATACAATATCTTCGATTTCTAGACCCTTTAGCCTTGGAAGCACTTTGAATTTATCGTAACTATTGTGCAAGTAAAAGTAGCTGGTTCCATTAACTTGAACAACAAAATGCTGGCCATCAGGAGATAACCAACTGTTACTCATTATTGCATCACTAGCAAACTGAAATCGCTTGACTATTGCCGGGTTATCGAGATCAATCTTAAATATTGACTTATCAAGAACAAGAAACATGATGTTAGATTTAACACAAAGCTGTCGAAGCTTGTGGTCAAGCTCAAACTGAAGTTGAACTGGATCAACCTCAAATGAAGGTTCTTCTGCTCCGGCATTGTTGTCAGAGATAGCTTCGTCATAGGATATGACTTGTGACGTTTCCCTCGTTATAAGAGAAGTCTCGTCTGTGTCAGGAGGCATTGAGTTTAAAGTGTGAAGCAAAATTGTTCTCCAGATACAACTGTAATGCCAATGCAAATAGCTTGAACCGAAAACTTAGATATAGGACAGAATTGGGTCCAGATTTAGTGGATTTTGAGGACTCACAACAGTTCACAGGAGAATAAAGCTGTAGACGATTCGGTGCGCACTCCCAAGCTTACAGTGGAAGCTATAAAACAGGCTATAAATCTGAATTAAGAGATAAAACAGAAGTATTTTAGAAATGATGACGAGGTATCCTAAGTTAGAAAGATATAAGCCTACTGCAGATCGTTGTTTTGGAGACGAAGCTGAAGAGATTCGGTAGCCCCAGCCTTATCGTATGCGGAAATCGCGTTAAACCATACTCATAGGGACAAAACGAGCTGATCCAGTAATTATATCGTCAGGTACGGTCTGTATGTATCCCTATAACAGCATCATGGTTCCTTTAGCTCGTACACAAGAAGCTTAGAGTGATGAAAAATCCATTATGTTGAACAATTGTGCATGACTGACGCGCATTCAGTCAGTCACAAAAATCTCACTTGAACCAGCCACCAAAAAAGGAGACCAACCACATTGCTTCACATTTATAACACAATAATTCTCTGTAAAAGCAAATCAATTGTGAACCACAAGAGTCATGAATGTGTTGAAATTACAGAAGAAGTACACCAACCTCGATCAGAGTGAGCTTTTCGAGATCATTGAAAATTTCAGAAGCATCGATTTGGAAGACACTGGCAGTGTTGAAAAGAAAGATGTTATCAATGCAGTATCGAAAAAAGGAAAGTACACATACGACGAAACAAGAGAGACGTTGAAAGATGTTGATGTTGATGCCTCGGGTAAAGTGGAATTGGATGATTTTGTGCAATTGATGCTGAAGTTGAAGGAAGGGTCTTCAAGTACAGGGGGCCAATCTGGAGGATCTCTTGGAGTTCCAGCGGTTGGAGGAGTTCCAACATCCCCACGGTCACCTAAGGCACATGCACCAGTTGCTACTGCCAACCAGGCCCACAAGACCTATATTGGAGGTAAGACTAGTGGTACTACCCACACTATCAACGATGAAGAGAGAATCGAATTCACCCGCCACGTGAATTCAGTATTAGCTGGTGATCCTGATGTAGGATCTCGTCTTCCATTTGACACTAACACTTTCCAGATTTTCGACGAATGTAGGGATGGATTGGTATTATCCAAGTTGATTAACGACTCAGTCCCTGATACCATCGATACCAGAGTTTTGAACACTACCGGCCCAAAGAGAAAAACTTTGAACAATTTCCAAATGAATGAAAATGCCAATATTGTCATCAACTCTGCTAAAGCCATCGGATGTGTGGTTGTGAATGTCCACACTGAAGACATTATTGACGGAAAGGAGCACTTGATCTTGGGGCTTATTTGGCAAATTATTAGAAGAGGTTTGTTGAGCAAGGTCGATATTAAACTTCACCCCGAGTTGTACCGGTTGTTGGAAGATGATGAAACTTTGGAACAATTTTTGAGACTTCCACCTGAACAGATTTTGTTGAGATGGTTCAACTATCATTTGAAGAACGCTAAGAGTTCTAGAAGAGTTAACAACTTCACTTCCGATGTTAGTGACGCCGAGTGCTACACTATTTTGCTTAACCAATTGCAACCAGAATACTGTGATTTATCTCCATTGCACACCTCAGATCTCTTAACTAGAGCTGGGCAAGTGTTAGATAATGCTGAAAAAATTGGTTGCAGAAAGTATTTGACTCCTACTTCATTGGTTGCTGGTAACCCCAAATTGAATTTGGCGTTTGTGGCTCATTTATTCAACACGTACCCAGGTTTAGACCCAATCGAAGAGGATGAGAAGTTTGAAGTTGAAGAATTTGATGCTGAAGGGGAAAGAGAAGCCCGTGTATTCACTTTATGGTTGAACTCATTGGATGTTGACCCCCCTATTGTATCATTGTTTGAAGATTTGAAGGATGGGTTAGTATTGTTACAAGCATTTGATAAGGTTATTCCCGGATCAGTGAGCTTCAAACATGTTAACAAAAAGCCTGCCGGCGACAGACCTTTGATGAGATTCAAAGCCCTAGAAAACACAAACTACGCTGTAGAAATCGGAAAGGCTGCTCATTTCTCACTTGTGGGAATTGAAGGTGGTGATATTGTGGATGGAAACAAGTTATTGACCTTAGGATTGGTATGGCAATTGATGAGAAGAAATATAACCAGTACCTTATCTCAATTAGGAAGCAGTAAGGGAACAGCTTTGACAGATGCTGATATTTTGAAATGGGCCAATGCTCAAGCTACGAAGGGCGGTAGAAGCACCACTATAAGATCGTTCAAGGACCTGACTTTGGGTTCTGGAGTATTCTTGTTGGACGTTTTACATGGACTCAAGCCTGGATATGTTGACTATGACCTTGTTTATCAAGGCGACAACTTGAGCGATGACGAGAAGTATGCCAACGCCAAATTGGCTATTTCGATCGCTAGAAAGTTAGGAGCCTTAATCTGGTTAGTTCCTGAAGACATCAACGAAGTAAGAGGCCGGTTGCTCTTATCGTTTGTGGGTAGTTTAATGACGGTGGCTGAGAGCCAGTAAATGTATCAGTTATATATGTATTAGTAATACGACTAGCAAAGAGAAGGAAAAGAAGTAGGAGCTCTAATCGCTGCCGCATTCACAATATGATAGTCCCGCGAGAAGCCTCTCCCAAGTGGCTCCTCAGGCACGACCGCGCGCTTTGGCCAATGAAAAATTTGTGTTTAAAACTGTAAGCAACATCCTCCAACAATGTCCAAGATATTACCGTTCACAGAAGCAAACACCCAAAGAATCAGCTCGTTGTTTAGACAGTCCTTAAGGACTGCCTTTGACCACTCCATGAAGTTTGACATTTATAGACAGCAAACAATAAGCATCAGAAAGCAATTTGATGCCAACAAGCATATCTCAAACCCTCAGGAATTGGAAGCAGCCATTGCCAGTACCAAAGCAAAATTAGCCGAGTGGGCTCACCCAGACCCTTATGTCCCACCATGTAGACCAGGAGGTACCAAATACCAAAGAAATATTCCTCCACCTAATGAACATGTTGTACCTGGAGACTGGTAAAGCCACGAAACATGAGGTAAAAACGACAATAACGGCATTTGGAGATCACTTAACACTTTTGTAGCTAGCAATAGTTTCACATAGTACATACACGTACGACTACAAGTTTTCCAATAGTTTAGAGAGTAATCTGGTAGGAGCCGAGAGAATATAGTACAAGGCACGACTTTATTTCCCTCTTGTTTCAGGGTGCGACCACCAAACCGCTTTATTTGCAGCAAAACAAAAGTATCCACATGTCAATTTTCAGAGCTATTTGGCAACAAGGGCTTCACTTATCAGAAATAGCAGAAAAGGAGCTCAATAAACTTAATGCAAGACTTTTGGAAGAATCAGAAAGTACAACTGACTCCTCTATATTGACAACAATCCAATGTATAAGTACTGCTTCAAATGCGTATCATAGTGGTATTAGACCCACTTTATTTGCTAAGGAGACTCAAACAAAAATATCAATTTACTCAGCGGAGTTCATTGAGATGTCTTCAATAATGCTGCAACGTTTTTCCCTGATTATCAATGTGTTATATCTCACGACATCTTCAATCATTTCAGCAAGCGTATTCAAGGCGATGATATCTATACCATTGGTGGCAGTAATATTTACTATGATATGTGTCTGGTTGGAAAAGTTGTTGAGCAAGCAAGTACCGACAAAGCCGATAAATGAAGAAGAATCTTTGGATATTTCTGTAGAAGAATCTGATGATAGCAGTAGCACCGACGAAAGGAGGTATTCAGGGAGTATAGACTCTGAAGTACTCTATCAGGGAGACACGAGCTTCAGCATTCATAGACAAAGCACCAACCTAGGAGAATCCAGGATAGAGAATTTCAGCCATCAGGTAGCTGATAAAACACCTGAAACTCCAACCCATAAAACAACAAGGCAATTCATGCATCCTTCTCTCTTGGGTAAATTGAATTCCCAAATTATGGAGAACCGGATTCAGCTGAAGGAGTATAAAATAGCTGTTAATATTGGGAATCCTATATCCAGTTCCAAAATTGTTTTGCAGAATGAAGTAGAAGATAAAGAAGAAAGCTACAATCACGGTTTTGGAATCAGTGATCTGTATAATATAGGATTCCCAGCTTATCATGTTCCTAGATTCCAGACCAAAGAACGCAACACACTAGGACACAGTATTCAAGATGAATTGGACAAAATCTCTAGAGGAATACAGAAAGACATGGATGACCAGGAACATGAACTTGATTCGCTTTTGTTGGAATATGATAAGCGTATTGCTGAAAAAACCAACATAAACCAAAGAGTTCGTGACGCACATTTACGGGAAATTGTTAATTCAGAAGTGCAAAAGGATCTATTGAAATTCTTCTTCCCAGAAGAAGAACTAGTGGAGGTGGAATATTCCCTCGTAATTGACAGAAACCCAAGACATCAGTTTGATCAAGACATGAAATCATGGAATGTAGAAATGATAAAAAGGTTCAGGTTTTTTGTTAGTCATAAGAGTGAAGATGAAGAAGCCGAGGAGTATGCAGATATCATTAAGGAACTGATGGCTCTGTTTATTTTTCTCCTCAATCCGAAGGATTTGGATTCGGTTCTCACTAATGAATTGGTATGTTTGATCAGAGATATCATTACTTATGCTGAGGATGAGGCCATAAACGTGGAACATGTGGTCCTATTTTTATATAAATTGCTCCTATTACTGCAACAATCAGAGGTCCATTATAAGATAGCATCCACCAATTTCATGGTGGTCATATGCGTCTTGAAACAAGAGGAGTTTTCACACATTTTCAATGAACTTATCAATTCTGAAGTTAGCAAGCTTGGACTTAAAATCTTAGTCCAAGGTTTCAAGTATTATATAAGCTTTAATGGCGATGACTTGGATTCTTATCAGATGGCTGGTTTTCAGCATTTGTTCATGGATATTATGAGCCAGTTCAAAGACAAAAGCGGCTTCAACTCCACTGATATCAGAATAGAAATATCAGATATTATTGAAATTTTCAACCACTTCCATATTCTGATTGACCTATCAGCATTTGCTGTTGGAGATATGGCACAAATATAACAATTTGGTACTCACATAGTTTTGCAGCGGGGCTCGATGAGATGGTTCGCGCACTACGTACAATTGATTTTGATTTTTGAGATGAGATACAAAGTTTGAAAGTTTTTCCAATTCTCAAACAAGTGTAACATAAAATGCCTAGATCTAAACGTTCCAAACTCGTAACATTGGCACAGACCGATAAGAAAGGCAAAGAGAACAAAGAAAGAATCTTTGATGAAGTGAGAAGTGCATTGGATGAGTTCAAATATGTGTTTGTCTTAAGGTTAGACGATGTTCGTACTCCAGTTTTACAAGAAATCAGAAGTGATTGGGCAGGATCTAGATTAATCCTCGGTAAAAGAAGAGTATTAGAAAAGGCTCTTGGTGATACTACAGCTGAAGAATATAAAGATGACTTGCATCAATTATCCAAATTATGTGATGGTGTGGTTGGGTTATTATTCACTAATGAAGAAATCAACACTGTCGAAGATTATTTCAACGCATACACCAAACAAGATTACTCCAGAGCCAAAACTAGAGCCCCTATAGATTTCACTATACCTGAAGGAATTGTATATTCCAGAGGAGGCCAAATATCTATCGAAGAAGATGTTACTATGTCTCATTCCTTAGAAGAGACTTTGAGAAACAAATTCAAGATTCCAACCAAGATGAAGTCTGGTAAGATTTTTTTTGAATGAACCATACCATGTTTGTACTAAAGGAGATGTATTGGACGTTAGACAAGCGCTTATTTTGAAGCAATTTGGTATTGCCGCTTCTGAATTCAAAGTCCAAATGTTGGGTTATTATGATGGAGAAAACAATAAGGTTGAAAAGTACTAGGGTACTAGCAAGTTTATTTCGATGAATTGTATTAAACGAAAAAAGAGTATTATACACCAGTTTATATAAAAATACACAGATGGGCATGAATCCTTTCATATTAAACACCGTAGTGCTGAACTTGGAATCACAAGTCACTCGCTGACCATGGATTGAACGCATAAGACTTTGGCATTTCCATTACCAATGTTAATTATGCCGTAAGTGTTTCCACGAGGGACTTGGAAAGTGCAACCCCTCGTAACCACAAATGTGTGATTGGAGAGATTGACCTCAAGAAGGCCCTTGATAACGTGAAATACGTAAATGCAATTACCACTATTCTTGCTGGATTTGAATCCTTCAACAGGAAATTCAAAGAGGGCTCCGGCAACAGGAGAATTATCTTTGAACACAGTTGCCAACTTATAATTATCAATAGAAGAACCAGATGATTCAGGGGGATCTTCAAGCCACTTTGAGAAGTTGTGTGTAAAGGCAACAGGTTGGGTTTTAGTGGATTCGGAATCATTTGATTCGTAAACTGGTAACAGCAAAGAGTTATCTTCGAACCATTCGCTTCCCAGTATTCCAGGATCAGATTCATAATCGTAATCAAGTTCTGTAGGAGCTTGTTTGGCTGAGTTTGATGGTGAATCCGAAACTGAAGATGATTTCTTTGTCTTGTTTCTTCTTGATGTACTCTTAGAAGTTTTACCTCGTGCAAATGAAGTAGTTGGTGCCGGTACGTGAATGATCTCTTTAATTTCTTGGAGGGGGATATTGTGAGTATCTCTTACAAGTGTTATATCCGGATCGGCTTCATCATCATATGATTTGGAATAGATAACACGCTCGTTCCTCCAGAATGCCAACGGCTGAATCTTTGTTCTTCTGCTTCGCCTGAGCCCATCTGGGGGTGGAGATGGAAGTGGAGATGGTCTGATCGACACAACCACAGGAGCTGGGGTGACCACCGGAGTTCTCTTACGAATTCGTTTCGAGTTAGTAGTACGGCCCAATGCCATGTTCTTTGTAAGTGATGAAATGGATTTGCTAGATACTTCAGTCTCTTCTGGAACTCTTGCTAATTCAAAATCCACTCCTTCATCAAGCTCATCGAGGATATTATTGTTCAAGTCGTCATAGCTCATCTCAGGTTCAAGCATATTATCTTGTTGTTCAAGTGAGTATTGTTCACCAGGAGGTGAACCTTGTTCCAGTAGCGGCGATTTTAGACTATAGCTTTTACGACGGTGAATATTACCAATCGGACTGAGGTCAAACTTGTCGGCTTCATCATCAGTAAAATTGATTTTCCGTGCAATTATGCTGTCTCTGTCTTCTGAAGCACGGGTTTGTGTCCACTGCAGCAGACGTCTTCCCTGAGGCTTATTACTAGATATGTATCTGTTTCCGTGACCCTTGCCATCGCTTTCCGAGCCTCCCTCATCACTGCCACTTTCGTCCTCAAAAAAATCGTCTATGTCTTCCATGTTATACCTATCTTTACGCATATTGCTTCTGGGTTTGATCCCAGTCTTCCGAGACTGGGATCCCAAACTAAGTAAATCCATTGGTGACACTAATGTTTTGACCTTTGTTGTTTTAATATTTACTTTTAGGGAGCGCGCACCAAACTCGTGCACACACCACTTTTGCAACCACTTTTGGCTTTGCTAATAGCGGTGCTAGCAGAGGTGGTTTAGGGAAGGCCAGTCCACGAAGGGGACACAACAATAGATTTGGTTTTAACAACTTGCACAAGAAGTACGGGGGAAAACGGCTGATTTTCTATAGATTAACGTGAAGTTATTTGGATGTACTAATAAAACGCGGTTCAGCGTGAAGTATTGAGAGAATTTTGCAACAGGAACTTGCAATAGTGGATGCAATAACAGCTGAAATATTTCGACCAGCAAAATGACTCTTCAGATCGAAAAGTCCACCAATGTACGGGATAATTCGTATGCAAGAACAAACCCATCGGAATAGTTTATGTAAATGATATTCCTTGGGCAATTGGGATCAGCTGAAACGTTACGAGGAGCAATAGCAGTGATAGTACGATAACCATCTTCGCCTATGGCGAGGGCCACTGCGTTGGGAAAAAGGTATTCTTGACGCATTCCAAAAACTCCTCGATGTTGAGTTAGACGGAGTATCAGCACAAGCCCTTGTTGGCTCGCAGCCACCACGCACGAGAGCTCGGGGATAACATGGCATATGGAGATTCTGTTGGAGTGTTGAGAATCGTCGTTAGCAGGAATCACAAGATCGAATAGTGTCGGACTAGAACAGGTGCAGAAGAGACCCGGAAGTAGAAGGGCCATTTTCTTGGAGGTAGATATCACTAGAAGCGGCTCCGATGATGAAGACGAAAGATCAATGCCCTGACGGTCAATTCTGTTGTATACCTTGTGAAGACGACGATAGTCATCGTCGACAGTCGTAAGCCTATCTGAACGGGTAAGTGGATCAAATGAGAGTACTGGGCATTCGAAGTATTGGAACAGTGCAGCCATTCCAAATCTTGTATCCCCCATCTCTCCTCCAGCACTAGGTTGAGATTGGGATTGAGCTTCTTCGGATGTCGCCTTTTTGGCCAATATCTCCAGTTCTGCCAAAATTCGTAGCTCAGTATCAGCACTTATGGAACCCCCAAACACTTCTGCTAACGAGTCTACGGCAAGAAAAAACTTTGGAAGAACTGGTCGTGTAGTCCAGGAGTCCTCCTTCAAAAGAACTCGATTGGTGACTCGAGGATGGAAGAACTGAATTCGGCGGAAACGGGGGAGTGGAGGCTCGAGTCGATGCATTGTTGGATCAACATCATATGTAGACTCTGGGCCTGACTCAGAAGAAAGTGGACCTTCTGCAATACGAAATTCGAACCGGAATATCACCACTTCCCCTGAAATCAGACAACAGGAAACATCAACGTAGTGAGTGTCATCTGAATATACACCATGTCCTACAAACAGGACATCTGGAATATTGTGGAGGATTTGATGACTTTTAACGTGGTGAAATTGTTGGTCCAGCTCTATGTATACCAATAACGTTACACACTGGGAGTTATCAGAAGCGGCAATGAGGTGATAATGCCGTTGTTCATGAGAATAAGACATGAAATCAAGACCCCATGCACTAGCTTCAAGCCGAATACGAAAGTCAGGACGTATTGCAAGTTGAAAGGGTTGCAGAGACGCAGAAATGGCAGCAGGAGATCGTGTAGCCGACGACAAGGAGGCGAGACTGTAGAGCATCACCACTCCATCATCCGCACACACCGCAAGTATGTTAGTAGAAGAGTCGACAGTGCCGGCACTTTCTAACGGCCACCAGGCGGTCCTCACGTAATTGAGAGTATGTGGAAAGTAAGGCCATGTCGATACCAACCGGTCAGCTGTCGAAGTGACATGAGGCTTAGTATCGAAACGTAGTATTGGGTCCAGTGCAGGGGTGAAATACGCTCCATCAGAGTACTCGTACATCAAGATTTCTGATCCACAGGCGGTGATGTAGAAGTCTTGAGTGGCTACCGCTAGGTTGTTTTTATATTTGCGAGCCCCATGATGATGTGACAAACGAGATGAACCCACAAACGAGAGCTGGAGCGACTCAGTGAATTTGGAGGCCGGCTGACGTTGGAGGAGCATCTCTACCGAGTGGGGGATTACCGTCGTAAGGGCTGGATCGTCTGGAGCTGCGAGTTCATGGTGATTGAGAAGCTGTTGTCTTCGGTCTGACGAGTGTACTGAAAGACGGGCGTACGAAGAAGCAGCATGCCGGTTTGTGGAAGATACTACCAAAGGAGGACGAGTACTGGCAAGGGAGTATTCGTACCGATCGTAGGTGTCAGTATCAGAGTCTGAGTTTGTATCAGTGGAAGAATCAACACCAAGATCTAGGTCAGGATCAATGCGTAGAATGGGCCGTGTGATAGTAGAACCATTGGTTTCAGCATTCACGTCGATGCCATCAGTGTCGATGGTTTGCATGGCACTATTGAAGCTTTCCCGCCGGTCTCGATAGAAGGTGTCAGCATCGTCGTTCGTTTCCAAACTGAGAAAGTCAAAGATTTCTTCATCCTGGTCAGCTGGAGTATCTTCTCGTGGTGTGTGGAGGGAGTTGAAGTCCTTTACAGTTCGTCGAATCCCTCTAGAAACAAGAAACTGGGAGAACGGGTCCATTGATGGGACTAAGAGTTTCGCAGCTAGGACAAGAAATTATGGTGGAACTGGGTATATGGGTACGAAGGGTTCAGCCACTTGGACGAGAACGTTTATTGTTCGAGTCTTAAGCTGAAGAAATATGGCGGATTGAAGCACAAGTTTGTGGATTCTGATGATAAAGCGAGTTTGGCTTGTGGATAAGATATCGCGGTGCGATCATGTGGAGATGAGCTGAAGACCATCTTATAAAACAGCCAGCCATTGAGAGAATACCGTTTGGAGGACACGGATTTGAGCAAGGGAATGCTTTGACGGTCTATGGTGAGAATATCTACAAGTTGCTGGTTTCAGCTGCAAAAAGGGCACAATAGAGCACCCAATAGAGAAGAGAGGATGCAAGAGCTAGATTGGATGAGAATGAAAATGGGAGCACTTCATGGTTTACTTGTCTCTCTGACAACTCATGGTTTACTTGTCTCTCTGAAAAGTCATGGGCATTACTTGTTGTTTTGACAATTCATGGTTTTCCCGTCTACTTTGTGATCCCAGCGCCTCAGGTACTCGCGCAATGCCACAGTCTCTTTTCAATTCTCACCTCAATGACCCACGCAGACTTCGTCAACTCTACCTACAGCAGTAAGGCCGAGATGCTCGAGCAGACAGTGGCCTCGTACGAGGCGCTCAGCACCGACACCGATAACTGGGTCGCCAACCTAGCCAACTGCAGCTCACTTGTGTGGCACGGATTCCATTCCATCGGGGTGCCCATCAACTGGGCCGGATTTTATATCGCCAGCGACCCCCATACCCTCACACTTGGCCCCTTCCAAGGCAAAGTGGCGTGCCAGGTAATCGAAGTAGGCAAAGGTGTTTGCGGAACGGCCGCTTCAACGGGCCAAACACAACTTGTAGTTGATGTGCACAAGTTCCCAGGCCATATTGCGTGTGACGGAGACACCAATTCGGAGATTGTGGTGCCACTCATGGATGGAAAAAAGTGTTTGGGAGTACTTGACATCGATTGTCTTGCACTCAACGGTTTTGATGAACAAGACCAGCAGTTTCTTGAACAGTTGTGTGGTAAAATTGTTGAGAGCTGCAAGTTTTAGACAATTTGATACGAAATGGGACTAATCAACACATATTTTATATCGAATAAAATACTAATAACCTATCTATCTATCTATCTCCGTACACCTTCACGTCGTTGCTGTTCTCTCTCCAAATTATGTTTCAAAAGGGCTTTGGCCTTATCTACCGCATATGTGGAGCCAGAGATGGTGAAAATTCGCTCCGACAGGCCCTCGAGCTCGTCGGAAATTCCAATAATAGCCCCCAGAATCTTACGAACACCCTGAATTCTTGAACCGCTCTTGCCAATGAGAGCTCCCACAATATCTTTGGAAAATGCCATGGAGGTGGTGACGAGGCGCGCCGGGCTCGACGACAGGTCCAGGGCAGGACCCGTCCCAGGGGCAGCAGGGGCGGACACGGGGAGCGGCGCCACCACTGGTACGTCTGGTCGCCGCGGCCGCGGCACGTAGTAGCTGGTGCCAACCACACCGCCAAAATCCTCAATAAGACATCGACTGATTACGCGAAGTGCCGCGTACAACTCAGGAACACTTCCCTGTAATTCAACCAATCTCTCGTTGGACCCGGGCAAAAACAGCTTCAGAGCTATCATCAGTACGCCAAACACCTGCTGGATTCTTTGAATCCTAGCTCCTTTGGCGCCAATAATCGTACCCATCTGGCTGTTGGGAATAAGTAACCGGAGCACGGTGGAGTGGCCAGCGATGTTTTTGTGGATGCTCAATTGGCGGAGCGGGAAATGGGGGTACTCTTCCACCGACAGTGGCATTGGGCCGGCGCTGGCAGTCGACGCAGCGTCCGCCTCATGCTGCTGAGCCTCAATGAGAGCTTGGGAAAAGTAGCTGATAGCTTTTGAGCAATTGTCCAATGTTCCTGACACCGTCAAAATTCGCTCTTGGGTGTGCGCAAGAAGTTTGGAGATTCCGGCCTTGGTATCGGTTTCTTGACGGATTGAATTGATCACCAGTCCCGATTGGCCAATTAAACATCCCGACTCCTTGGACGAAATGAGAAGTCTGTAGTTGATGAGGGCATTACCATTTTCGGGAGAAACGGGAGGAAGAATTTCGTCTTGGGTTCCTGGATAGCTGTCATTGTCCGGCACATCGGCTGGTGATTCGCGAGAAGGCGAGGGCGGTTGGAGTGGGGCTCCCATGGTGGTGGAAGTGGTAATAACTGTGGTGGAGGTGTTGGTTTCGGCGGCGGTGCCGGCGTCGTTCCACAACGGAGCACCGGAATGGCTCTGGGTCGAACCCTGGGACGACAATGGAGAAGTCGCGGGCGACTCAAAGGACTCAAATAACGATTCGGTCATGATAAAACCTCAAACTAAAATACAATTGTAATATACAGATGCCGTCGAACTTGAAAAAGGTGGATGATATGTGATTAATGCCAAATTATCGCCAATGATAAATCACTTTGAATGAAAACCGATAAAAAAAAACGATACAAAAAGAACCATACAAAAACAAAATTCAAATACAAAAAAAGAAAAAATTCTGGGAATTGGAGGAGGGGGGAGGAGCGTTAATGAGAAGGTATGTTGGGTATTGGGATTAAACGACTTGAAAGTTGGGGCGTTAGTCAATTAAATGTTCCTGGAGTTGAGTAGGATGTACTTGAAGAGATTTTTGGTCTTGATTGTACGAAAATTTTTTTTGACGATGATGGGCGGCGAGAGGGGTTTTTAATACCAAACTTACTTACTATTATTTTGGTAAGACGGGTGTTTGATGTCTGTTTTTTATTTTTGTTTTATTTTCTTGGTTTTAATTATTTCTAATGGTTTGATTTTAATTATTTTTCTCACTAATTATTGTATATTCACATATCAGCTACATGGATTACCTAGGTTTCTAAAATTTTACAGCGAAGAATTTTTTCAGTAAAAGCATCTTAATTCCATTTAGTTACAAACCATTTTTGTACGAGTCGATTGATCGACATACAAGTGGGAATGTGGTGTCAATGGATATACTAAGCCTTATATTTGCAGGTTGCAGCCTGAATTTTGATTTGAGAGGTCTAGGATTTTAGGCCGTTTTTGATTACAACCATAATTAAGAGCTTGTTGGCGCCTCCGAGCAGGAGATTAGACCCGGCTAATTCAATATTTTGTCATGTAGCACAGGTTATGTTGTAATTAGCCGACTGCACGATCTTGATTACTCCTTGAAAGCTAAAAAAAAAAATACTGCTTGACAATCCCATATTTTAAGCGACCTTGATCCATCATTATTGCTGGATTAATATATTAACACCTGCGAAGGAACGAGAAATTATTGTTGGACCAATAAATCGGGGTAGTTCGTCGAAAAACTATTCGCAAAAGTCTTCTCTAACAGGATGCCTTATGTAGGGCGGCTAATTATACAGTCGCGCAGCATAATGTAGGGGTCGCTCCTGCATTCTGAGGCCCGCATTAATGCCACCTGCCTAATTAGCGAGTCTTGATGTAATACCTTTACATCCGCCCTATTTATTGTTAATTTTGACCAATGGCCCATTGTGATTATGTTTTTGCGCAAAGCGCTAATGCTTTGCAGAATCTCGATTGTGAATCGGCCAATGTCGTGTATCTTTTGCTGATTAGCTATTGACATCGTCTCTTCCGGGCCCTCACTTCCCACGAATATGGCAATATTCCCACGTCTGCGCGGTCGCGCAAAATATCAACAATAACTATTTGTTACTTTTACCTTAACCCAGGAACTCACCTCCCATCACACCTAGAGGCCCCCTTGCTAGAAACTCCAATAAGCCCCTTCATACCAACGTTATACTTTCCCTCTCCTGGCTCAGCCCATAATAATTTAGAAATTAATAGCGGTATTTAAAAGGACATGTCACATTGCGAAAGGCTTTTGGAAAAGTTGCCAACTATCGACCCTGTTGTAACAGCTTTCGTTGTCCAGGCAACAGTGGCCACTACAATCATCTCATTGGCCAGCTACAGATCTCACGAACGACTTATCATGTGTACAGATGATATTTTTGAGTTGGGGTCCAGGGCATCAGTTCTCCCGTTCGAAGGTTACCGCGCGCTCGCCCTACCGGTGGCGCTGACGGGGGTACTTGTGGCGGTGTTTTATTTGTCCCCAGCCGCGCTCGCGGTGCTTATGGCGCACGCCCAGGCGGTAGTGGCAATTTTATCCTTATGGTTCACAACCGTGTCGGTAGAGCATATCGTACTGCTCCTATTCGCAGCTGTGGGATGGGAGGTGCCACGGGTGGTGATTTCTCCCACCGGATTACCGTCTGGGTACGTGGAACGCCTCGACTATGCAGCAGCAGGAATCAAGCATCCCGCCAAATTCCACCGGTACCTCCACCACCACCTGGTGCGAGTTGTAACACCCGAACAGAAATTCGAGGGAGACTATGAGCACCGTGCCGGCGTGGTAATTAGTGCCACGTACGCGGTGGGGCTCGCGGTGGCTGGACTCGTTGCGTACCAGTACTACTACGGCCCCACCACTGGCCGGTGGGTGTACTCCAATATCATCGCCACCAGCTTAGCCCTATGGTTTCTTCTCCTGGCCCAGTTGGGCTCCATGGGTACGGCCGTGACCATGCTATGTGCTTTTACTGCCTACGACATTGCATTTGTGTATGGATCCCGGGTGATGATAACAGTGGCTCTGGCGGTGGATATGCCCATCAAGCTCGTGATCCCGTACGGTGAAGGAGGCACCGAACAGGCGATTCTTGGCCTTGGTGATGTGGCGTTGCCGGGACTCTTTGTGACCTTGTGCTCCCGTGTGGGCAAAGACTACTTCGGGGTGGCCATCACCTCGTACTTCGGTGGCTTGGTGGCATGCTTTTTAGTAGTACTAACGTCGGGTAATGCTCAGCCGGCCCTTGTGTTTATCGTACCGGCCCTCATAGTGGTGGTATCAGTCTACGCGGTGATTCGAGGCGAATGGGCTAAGTTTTGGAACTTTTCCGTTGAGATAGACCCTTACGATGAGTCTGAGTCTGACTATGACAGTGGTGACGAAGTAAAAGTGGCGTTTCTTGACCAGAAGGAAGAGGAA